TTAGTTCTGATGTTGTAACTATAAAAAACATATTCGCCAACTTTTTAACATGGTTGGCTATGGTGGATCATCACATCATTAAAAATTGGTTTCCTGCCAAGTTTTATTTTTTTATGGGTATTGGACTTTAGTTTGTCACATAGAGTGGATTCTGGAATATTGAATGATCGACCAACTTCTCGTATTTTTCACCCAGATCGTATAGCAGTGTGATCGCAGCTTTTAGTTCATCTTCTGTCCATTTTGATCTTTCAGTTTTTCCGAACGTAAGCACGGGCATTTTGGAATCTAAATGCAATATAAACACTATACCAGCAAAAATTATTACAAGGGGTAATACCGCGCAGCATGAAATTACCCCGACACAGCTGCGCGGTATTCCACCCAAGTGAGTAACGTAACTTAACTTATTCACTGTTCGTTAATGACTAAATAAAATGCATTATTTTTATACGTGATATATATTTATCTATACATATAGAACAAAATAATCACTGAATAGTTTTAATGAAAATTAATAACAAAGGTACTTACCGCTTTGTTAAAGATTAGTCGAAAATTAAATTAAAGTCCCTAAAAAACAAACAATCTGTGACCTTGCTAAACCAATACTACCAATACCAATGCCAATACCAATACTACAAATACTAGACGGCACACTGTGTTAAATCTTGCAATACTTACGCCGTGTTGCCAAGATACTGATGCGCGATATTCCCACGGGAGTGGTATTTTCCCGGCTTCCCCTTAACTGCAAATTTAATATACATGCAGAGGAAGATCAATTAAACACATTTAAAGAGGCTAGTGAGGGTCCAGATAATATCCCATGGTCTTTCTTAAACATTTACCTGAGAATGCACACAATTATCCACTGAATATATTTAAAATTATTTGGACAGAAATTTCCAACAGCGTGGAGAGCATCTATTATAATACCAATATTTTTTTATTTATACAGTATAGCCCAAAATAAACAGTACTGTAGTTGTAATTATTTTATTAAACTTTGATTAAATAAAAGGCATAAAAGGATACCGAGCACAGTTTTATTAATTTAATCTTTAACCGGAGACAGAATTCTTCCATACATAATGTATCTTCGCATATTTTAAAATTTTTAAAGTGTTAGTCCTTGTGTAGTCTAGTGTGATGTTTAATTTAATGTTTATAACATTTTAACCTTGTTGGATAGGCCACAATTGACGAAATGCCCCTGAAGATGCTCTAGGGAGCGAAAGTACTTGGGCAAGATTAAATTAATAAAATTGTGCTCGATATCTGCCTTTTATTTGATCAAAGTTCATTTATTTGAGCATTCAACCTTATATCAATTTAATTATTTGACTGTTTAAAAAAATGCATATTATTAACACTTTATAACATGTTATAAATGAGGCCCTCCTCTCTCAAGACAAACTTCATACCGATATTCCAGATTTCTCGTAATGTTATAGAACAAAGGTTGTCTCAAGTCCACGAAGAAGGCTCTAACGGCATCCTTTAACTCATTGATAATTTGTCGTGCCCGTTTAAAAGGGCAGTTTTAGCCGTACCCCAAACGTAGTATGTGTCTGGAGATGTTAAGTCTGGAGAATGTGCAGGATAGAGGAAGTCATTAAATCGTGAAATGAATTTGTTTTGGAAAATGTCCCTGAAGAAATTCACCAACTGCGACAGCAGTAATGCAAGTTGCCCTATCCTGTTTGAAAAATTAATCTGCAAATGCCAAATTACGTGCACGACAAAATTGACGTAGATCCCTGAGAAAGCGTGTTAAAATTTGTATGTACCTCTGTTGATTAAGTGTGACTTGCCTACCATTTTCTTCGATAAAGTATGGACCAATGATTTCGTGTCCCAAAACTGCACACCAAACACTCACTTTTGCGCTATGTAAAGGAACTTCTAGAACTTCATCTGGTCTGGCAAAGCCCGGAAATCAATTTGTGCGACGATTTACATGACCTGACAAATAAAAATATGCTTCGTCTGAAAACCATACATTTTTTAAAAATTCAGGATTTTCATACCGTAATGCAAGAATTCTAGCACAATATTACACTTTACTGTGATATTCCCTGGGAATCACATACGAAAATGCACCCAGCTCCTTCAGGATTCTTTGCAAGGAAGTTCGTTTTACGCCAAGATGCAAGGCTGTTCTTGTCTGGCTGGATTTCGGATTTTCCAAGTCCAAGATTATTTGCTCGAGAGAGCACATAATCTAGTTGATTTAGAAAATAAAATAAGAAATACATGTTCTACGATGTAAAAGAAGGTGATATATTTTAACCTTTTATTTAGTTTACTTGTTGTTTTGTACATTAGAATATATTGTTTATTAGCCCACAATAAAATTTTTCGAAAATTAAAGTGTTTATCTACTAGATACTACTACGTAAGTTATCTATACGTAATTAATTTATTAGTGTGAAAAAAAAAAAACGTTAATAATAAATATATACTACCGTACAATCATTTTGTGAGGTTAGCTGTTATAAGTTATCTTAATAGTAGCATGCGGTTAGTTTTTTCACTTACCAGAGTCGGAGTAAGGCCTTCACCGCAATAGCTTAAAATGACTTCACAGAAACACACCTTCCGATCTAACCAGTCCAGTAAATCAACGTTCGAATATCACAAACAGTTATACATTAGCCGCTTCACACTCTTTTCCGAGTAAAACCCAAGCAATTGTATTTAGTTGCATCGATAATGCTAAACTGAAGGATTATCTCATCCCTTTTGGCACAATCATCAACCCAAAAAATATTATTTTTTCATCTAGATTATCTCATAATAGAATCTGCATGTATTTGGCAAACAAAACCGTAGTAGATAACTTCATGACACAACATGGCTCTATAGAAGTACTCGGCGAAGTTGTAACAGCACGAAGACTTGTCTCTCCAGCAGAAAGACTAGTCTTGTCTGGAGTCTGCCCATTAATTCCTGATCAAGTATTAGTTGAAGAATTACAGAATATCGGTTTAAAGCTTATTTTCCCAATATCATTTCTGAAAATTAGCTCGACTCTCCCCGAATATAGTCACATATTGATCTTTCGGAGGCAAGTTTATATAAGCCCTATAAGATCACCAATTCCAGATTCTATTCTAGCGATCAAACAGCTTACCGCATATTTTTGTCACAAGGTACACTTACCTGCTTTATTTGCAAAAATACAGGACACATATCATCCCAATGCAATAACAGTTCAGTAACGGAATCAATTCATATTGAGTCAAATATTGAAGTACCAAATCAAACAGCTTCAACAAGTATACTACACAAGGTACCAAACACCCAGCAGTCATCAAGTTATCCATTATCAAATCCAAGCATATCACCTACACCTACAAATCTCCATGACAAAGAAATTACTAACGCTCCTACTCATAACAACACTTTCAATCAACCTCATTCAGTAGCAATACCGTTTTTACAAACTTCGGAAGCAATATCCTCCAATCTATCAGCTCCTTTTTTATTAGATACAACTGCAGAAAATTCTAATAAAACTGATACATCAAGACAATTTGCTGAAACAACCATTTCAACCATTCTTACAAATAAAACTTCAAGCTCGAGTTCTGTCACTACCAGGAGTTTGCTCCAGTACTTCCAAATGTAATAAAGCCACAGCATCTAAGTGAAAACTCTAATAACAATTCTGAAAACACAAGTTCCTTCCATAAAACGCAGCATTGGTGAGATCGTCACGCCTCCTTCAAACTCAGTAATTTCATCAGAAAATCTGTTTGCAAAACCCAAACCCTCTAAACCAAAAAAACCGCGCTCATATAAAGTCCCATCTACACGGGAAACTCTTGAAAATTTTATTGATAAACATACTCCACCATTCGTTTTAAATTATCACCAATTGTCCTTACTGATTGATAATTTCCAAGGCTCCTCCGACACTATTAGCGTCATCAAAGGATTTACAACTGATATCGATGGTTTACTCCATCTTTTACAAAGCAGCTATCAATATGCAAATGATAGATCTACAAAAAGCAAGTTTACAAAACTTCAAAAGAAACTATACAACCATTTGGAGAAAGAGATTTCTGACTTAGATAGTGACTCTTCTGTAGACAATTGTTCAGTATCATCTAACTCCGAATCTGTCGTATACGAATCTGTAACATTCAACTCGATACTTCAATGGAACATTGATGGATTTTTTCATCGTCTCCCTATGCTACAACTTCTTTTATCTAAATATTCTCCAGATATTATTATTTCTTATGAACATGGAAGAAGCGTCCAATTTTTATGGGTTCCCTCAAACGTCCGAATAACAAGAAATGAAGAAGCTGACAGGACTGCACGAGAGGCAATATTAAGTGATTTGTCAAAGCCGATAGACAAGTGTGTTTTTAGTGACTTAAAAGCTTATTTTAAAAATAAAGTGTGTGTTTGTGGCAAAATGAGTGGTCTCAAACTAATTCCAATCTAAATAAAATCAAAAATAATGTGTCTCAGTGGTTTCCATCGTCGCTCAATAGACGAGAACAAATTGCGGTTGCGCGTTTACGCCTAGGACATACCAGATTAACGTACTCCTACCTTTTCACAAAGAAAAATCAACCTATATGTGATCAGTGTAACGTCCGATTAACAGTCGAACATTTTTTATCAATTTGTAGTAAATATGACCAAGAAAGACAGCGCTACAAGATTCCAAACGCTCTACTACAGGCTCTAGGTCAAAACTGTTCCTGTAACAATATAGTGAATAATCTTAGATCCATAAACATTTTGTACAATCAGTAGGTGTTTAACTTTGTTTTTTATATTTTGTTCCGTCGCTAATAACCTTTTGGTGGACGCGACATTTTTTTCTAATAAAAAAAAAATAAAAATTTTCAAAGGTTTTTAACTGCATTGCAATAACTTGTATCTATACATATATACTATATTAATATATATACATACATCTACATACTCGTACTCTTCTAGAATGGAAATTGCCTAATATATCATCTTACCTTGTAAAGAATGCATAGAGTATTCCAGCCTCCATATCGTGATCCCACGTAAAAGTTCCACCCTCTATATTCTCAATTGGTTCATAGACATAATTCGGGCAAGCCTGACTCGTTACATTATTTCGATCTTGTATCATTTCTGTTATAGCAATGTTTAGAACAACTCTTAAATGATATGCATTTAATAATGCCAACTGCATCATAATTACAAGTACATATCTTTGACCTAATACAAACTTTCCACAGAGACATTTTAAAGGATGCCATGGCATTTCGTAGTTATTTCATCAATTAAAAATTATTAAACTGTTTTAAAAAAATTTCCCAGACTTACACAAAATATCATTTTAAAACGTCAAAGATGACAACAATCTTAGAAGGTTTAGCTCACGAATAAAGTATACAGTAGGTCCGCTAGATCTGAGGACATTGTCATTATTCGTATTATACGAAATAAACCGAGTGAAACGTGATGAAACTAACGTGGGTGATAATAATTAAAAAATTGCTAATATTATGATGAACGTTTTTATACTTCTTTTTTTTATTTACTGGATTTTGAAAACTAGGTATACAGTATGGTGGAAATGAAAGGAATAAATTCGTTATTTCGTAAACCGGAGACTTTAAGGAAAAATCCTGAAACCCGTCGATTTTTATTTTTAAATAAGCTATTCGTAAGAATACATTTTTATTTTTGACGTCATCTATGTCAGCGTGATGACGTCATTGCTAAAATTTTTAAATAGAAAGGGGGGTATTGTAATACATCATTTGAAAGGTCTTTTAAATACCTATTCAGCCATATCAATATGTCTGAGTATTTGATGTTTGTAATTGTTTAAAAAAATTATTAAATATTTATTATTACAATAAATATTTATTAAGTATTGATATGATGTATTATTGACACCCAAAAATAAATTTTATAAAGGCCATCACTGGTAATAAAATGTCTTTTTTATCTACTTTTTACCTTAAAAAAAACTAGTTAGCTTATCAATATGAACATTTGATAATTGAACATTTAAACTTAATTATCTTTCTGTCAAGTGATTAATAGTATTATTGTAGTAAACGTATTCAAAAAGTCTTTGTATCTTTGAGCATGAAGCTAACTGAAACGCAAAGAATTGAAATTCTCATAATGATTGGTTATGGAGATAAAACACGTACGCAGAAAGAAGTATGTGCGTTATTTAATAATAAATACCCCCGTCGAGAACCAATTTCACAATCCACTGTAAGCAAAATTGAGAAAAAATTTAGGGTCATGTTAAAGACCTTCCTAAAGGTAGTAGAAAACCAATATCTGAAAACCAACAAGTAGACGTTCTGTTAGCTTTTCAAGCTAATCCTCATAACAGTTCACGGCAAGTAGCATTAGTTAATGACATTGACCATTCAACAGTTCTTAAACAATCAAAAGACTGATATTTTTGTACACACTTATGACAAGTCGAAAGAAAATGTAAAAAGTATTTTTGAAGTGTGTATATTTAGGCCAATTCCTAGCTGAGCGCTTTCGGCTTTACAAAGCCATCATCAGAGCTATGGTCAATTATTTAAATACCACTACAAAGGAGAGATCTCATTTCCTTATATTTCCAAATTATGATTTTTGTTGCAATTCTTAGAACATATAAAAAAACATATAAAAAACCGACACTGGATTCACAAACACGTTAAAAAAAGTGAAAAAAAATTTTTTGTCATGGTGCGGGTGTAAGAACCCGACCATTGTTTGATCTGAGGAGGTAGGCTATTCTGCCTACCAGTAGGCAGAATAGCCTACCTCCTCAGATCAAACAATGGTCGGGTTCTTACACCCGCACCATGACAAAAAATTTTTTTCAATTTTTTAACGTGTTTGTGAAATCCAGTGTCGGTTTTTTATATGTTTTTTTATATGTTCTAAGAACTTGCAACAAAATCATAATTTGGAAATATAAGGAAATGAGATCTCTCCTTTGTAGTGGTATTTAAATAATTGACCATAGCTCTGATGATGGCTTTGTAAAGCCGAAAGCGCTCAGCTAGGAATTGCCTAAAATATACACACTTCAAAAATACTTTTTACATTTTCTTTCGACTAGTTCTTAAACAGCTAAAGAAGGAAAAGTGGCATTCCTACAAAGTAAGTTTAGTACAAGAACTTATAGAAGATGATTTTGATAGACGAATTGAATTTTGTGACATTATAATGGAACGAAATAACAGAGATCCGATGTTTTTAAAAAAGATTATTTTCTCTGATGAAGCTACATTTGTACTAAACGGTCATGTCAATCGTCAAACTTATCGGTACTGGGCTACGGAAAATCCACACTGATGCAAGGTACGTACTCAATACTCAGAGAAAATTAATGTTTGGGTGGGAGTAACAGATAATAGGTGTATTGGACCATACTTTTTCGAAGAAAACTTAACAGGTCCTCGATATTTGGAATTTCTTCAAAATTTCTTGCTTCCAGAATTGAACCGCTTGTTTCCAAACAGAAATGAATTATGGCTACAGCAAGATGGTGCGCCTCCACACTATGCTGTCTTGGTACGCAACTACTTAAACAACGTCTTTCCAAATCGGTGGATAGGTCGAAGAGGAACAATAGAATGGCCGCCTAGGTCACCTGATTTGACTCCTCTTGATTTTTTTTATGGGGATATTTAAAAAGTAAGGTGTATCAAAATAGACCACAAAATATTAATGAACTGAAAGAAAGAATACGTAATGAGGTTGTTCAAATAACTCCGGAAGTTTTAGAGAATGTTAGAGAAGAGTTCGCGGCACGCCTTTCTCATTGTATTTTAGCTGAAGGTAAACAATTTGAGCACTTAATTTAGGTTTCGTTGGCGTACAACCATTGGATAGCTGGTAAAAAAAAACTCACATTTAAAAAAAACCTTCTTTGATCAATAGGAACGAAGTTAGGGACTATTTTGACGAAATTTTGGAGCGTGGCAGCTGCTAATCATCCCGCTTTTTTACGCATACTAAGATATATTACCGGTTTTTTATTATATAGATGACCTTTCTCCTATTCACATAAATACATATAAAATGCAATCATGTGAAAATGTGTATTCATGTAAAAAAAATTTCGACCTTTTTTTTAACCAAACTGGGTGGAATAACTTGATTTGTACTTCGCGTGTGCCTCTGGTAAATAATCAAACCCGTGTGAAAAACTGACTTTATTTTGAATTACACAATACATTAATATATGAACGCTAATAAGTATTATGTCCGCTCCCTCTGAATGCTGTATCACCGAGCTCATCCCATATTTTAGTGCTGTCCTCTTGGGCTGCTTTTAGGAACTCCGTCCTAATCTTCACATATGGCATAATATCTGCATACGCATAGATTGCTGCGTTGCCAATTTGGAAAAATTGCATAAAATTAACTTAAAATAGATGGTGGCGTGAACATGGCCCCCGCCTTGGCAAACACTGCCAACAAAATCGTCTGCTAACGCTAAATGTTCAAATGTTTGAAATACACTTAGTCCGAAACGGGCAACGGACACACCTTATAAAAAGAACGAGTTATGATACCTTTGTCTGTCTTTATCTTAAAAACTCTGGCTACATCATCACTGCCGCGTATAAGTTCGATCACGCGACCTAACTTCCACCTTAATGGAGGTAAATTGCCCTCTTTTATGGGCACTAACGTGTTTTCATCAACTTCACCGTTAGCAGTAGTTCATTTGGTACGTTTTTGTAGTTCGTAGATGTATTCTTTGTTCCATCGTTCCCATATATGCTGAGAAAGCTGCTGAATATGCTGGAATTTTAAGAGTATAAGTGGTTTACCGATGAGAAAATGTGCAGAAGTTAATGGGTTAAGATCATTTGGATCACAGGATAAAGGATGAATCGGTCTCGGGAATTTATTATAGCTTCAATCGGCACAAGCAATGAATAAAAACGTTAAGTGAGCGTTTCCCAAAACTCTATGTAAATTATGCTTAATTGTTCTTACTCCGCTTTCCCACAGTCCGCCAAAATGTGGAGATTTTGGAGGTATAAAAGAACACAAAATATTATCCTTTACCAAGGATTCTCTTATCGCGGGAGAGTGCTACTCTAAAACTTCTCTTAATTATTTTAACTCCGAACTAGCTGCTATAAAATTGGTTCCACTGTTGGAAACCATCTTTTGAGGCTTGCCTCTTCGCGCAATAAATCTTTTAAAGGCCAACAGAAATGATTCCTTAGACAGTTCCGTAACTAATTCTAAATGTATGGCCTTCGTACAAAAACAAATGAAAAGACACATGTAACTCTTTATTAGTTTACAACCTGGACCCTTTCTATCGCGAATTAAGAAAGGGCCCGCATATAATCTACACCTGTTACAATAAACCGTGGGCCACCTGCGAGACGCTGGCAGGTAGGTCACCCATTATTGGCTAAATGGATTTAGATTTTAATCGAAAACATTTTACACATTTGTGTACGGTACGTCTCGATAAATTTCTTCCTGATAGCGGCCAGAAAGTTTCTCTTATTGCAGAAAGTAAAAGCTGAGGGCCATCATACATAAGATCAATGTGAAAATGTGAAATGATGGGATCTTTTTTGTCACACGCAAACTCGGAATGCTTTAAACACCCGCCTACTCTCATGATACCTTGATAATCAAGAAATGGAGATAAATTTATGAATTTGCTGTTTTTATCTAGTGATCCCTTTTGGTTCGAATGTTTATTTCATTAGAAAATGACTGTGATAGACACGATTTTAAAATAAACTTAAAATAGATAGTGGCCTGAATACTGGGCTACATATTGTTCAATAACATCTACATTAAATAAATATTTAAATCGTAGTAATCAGAAATAAAAGCGTTTTCAATGCATATAAACAAATAGATGGGTTATGATCTAAAAAGCTAAATAAAAATCCACCTCAGGACTCCATAATCTTGATCATTCTTTTCCATCTTTTTAATCATTCTGTTTATTCACTGTTAATTACAGTTTTCAGAATTAATTAATTACTTAGAATATAATTTACATACAGAATATTGAATATTCAGCCTGAATGCATGGTTTTCTAAACGTTGATATACCATCAATCGACAGCTCTCTCTGGCTGGCGATCTATCAATCGTATCTCTCTCTCCTCTCTCCTCTCGATCAGCTCTCAATCTGCTCTCTGCTCTCTCTTCACTGGTGGCCGGCGATGTGATACATGGGTTCTTTAGTCACGATCGAGTACTTTTGTCTTCAATAGTCGTTACATCTCTTCACGTATTCTTCAACATATCTCCATAGTCCATTCCAGAAATAGTATTTCCTTATATCGTTATACTACATTGTATTTATTCCGAGGTGTCCTGTAGGTAA